CTTGATATCACAGTAATTTAATATTTAAGGTCAACTCACTCTGTGCAATCAGGTTTGAAGTATGTTCTTCTTCCATGGTTCTTTTCTTTCTATTTCAAGAGCACCAGGATGTTTCCCCAGTATGGCCAGCTCATCTTGAAACCTCAGTTATGTTGTTTGTTTTTTCACCATGCTGTGATCCTGCTCCTTCTGATAGATATTAAGACAGGTAACTTCTACACAAACCTCAACTAATTTGAATACTTTAAACTCAATATAAAGTTAAACGAGGTTTGAAGATATTTCACGATTTTGCACATATACATCAGCACAATAGAAATAAAATGAAACAATCAAGAGTCAGCTGCAAAGAATCCACAAACATTAATGTGACTGTAAGATATAAACTTTGTCCTGTGCTTTTCAGGTCAGTCTGAGACAGTAACACCATCACAAACAATAATCACAGTAGTTGGTGAGGACGTCATCTTACCATGCCACCTAGAACCTCCATCAGACGCTGTTTCTGAGATTGTGGAGTGGGGGAGACCTGACTTGGATCCCAGATTTGTCCATGTGTGGTACGAGGGCCAAAACCATCTGGTTAATCAAAACCCATCTTACAAAGGAAGGACATCACTGTCCACTGAGAAACTGAAGCAGGGAGACCTTTCACTGAAACTCACTAGAGTCAAACACTCTGACAATGGCAGATATAGATGCTTTTTTCCCTCAGAGCACAAAGAATCTATCATTGAACTTCTTGTTGGTAAGTTGACATTTTTCATTACACTGTGAGATACAAATTGATTTAACACACAGTAAAGTGATCCTTATAAATATGTCTCTTTATATGCCGTGGGGAGCATTTGGCTGTATAGTTACATGAAACTGTTGCAGTTAATATAAAGCTGTTTTAAGTAATCAACTTTATCCAGTCCAATCTTTGCTGGTTTTTTCCATTATTTTATCACACACCAGTCACTTTGTCCTTTACCAACTACAATGGTGCATATATTGTTTGATTTTTGCATTATATGGCAGGAA